AAAGATAGAAATATATTGTCATTTCTTCAAAGTATGAAATAACAACGTAAAAGATACGTCATTGTTCAAACTTAATAATATTTTCACACTGTAAAAGATAATCGTTTCTCTCTTTTTTTTTAATATATTGCAATCTTGAGAAAATCGATTCTTAGCAACGTGATCATTTTCTGTTTATTATAGAAGAAACAATTTAGACGTCTCATGTGACATGAAATGTGTGATGGTTTAGAGAAAATAGATTTGAATATTTGTAATTATAAACAAACGGAAGTACGGTGTATTCTCGCAAACAGGATGCAAAGTGTTGGGTTGGGACAGCTGATAATTCAAAAGATGCATGTAACGAGAACGTAATAATATGTAATTATATATTGACGATTTTATCTCGGACAATTATCGTGTATTACGCCATAAACAACATACAAGGCTGAAATCCTACTTCGATCTCGAAGTTGAAATCGAAATACTCAATCGATTAAACCTTGAGCGATGCACATGTAAAATCAATAGTTTCGCTGAACTGACAGGAGATTGCAAATTATTTCTGCTATTTTTGTTTTCTATTACTATCTAAATGTATATTTTATTTATATAGACCCCCAATTTCTTATTATGCAATTAAAGACATAGTATTAATTGTCATCTCAATTTCATATACAGACATCCGAAGATTTTGCCACTCGTATAAACTATACCATTTGAGAACGATAAATTGAATGAATCATTTATTTATATAGATTATATAGATTATCATGAATAAAATAAGATTATGATTATCACTTATAAAAAAGGCTGCATCCAGATCGGTCCAACATCGCGTTCGATAACGATCGCGAGTCACGAAAGATTACAAATTCAAGTGCGTGTTTAATGATCGCCGTGGATCTTCGTTTTACGATCCATAACTCAGCTTCCACGTTTTCCTTTCACAAATAGCCCGATAACAGAAACTTGGAATTAATCGCGAAAACGTGACTGTTTCTCTCTCTCTTTCTCTCTCTATTTTTCTCTCACCGATCAATATATTTCTTATCTTTAGTGTAGTCAAGTGTGGTACACGATCAAGTTGTCGCGATCAACGCTCGCCGGATCTTGTTTCACTGATCACTGATCACTGTTGAACTCGTCGGATTAGCCTAAGCTCTACCACTGGCGCTAAAATGGTCCTGGGGATTATGGCGCGATAACCCACGGCCACGTCCAGGTTAATTCGCATCTTAAAATTGCTCGAAACATACTCGTCGTTTCGCTATATCGCGCATGCCTAATCGACACTTCGATCTATCCGAGAGAGTTTAATTATTCCGTGAAGCTATAAAATGTACAAATGTTCATTAACCGTGTCAATACGAATATATCGGATGCGGAATCACCGCGAACGGAATATTAATCTGTTTATACCGTAAAGCTAGATAATTTCTCACGTTTATAGTGATGAGAATCCGCGCCGAAATAAATCTTGCTGCCTAGTAGAGATAAATCTTCACCAAGTTGTATCTACTGACGTTTGTTATGGATGTATATGTGTGTACGTGTGTGATTAACGGTTTCTAGAAATAATTATTTTTGGCTAAACTCAAAACTGGCCACTCCCGAGTTGTTAAAAATATATTCATTTTAATTTGTAATGTAAATTTATTCAAAATTCTACATATGATTTCTACTTTGATATAACAAAATTTTCACACAATCTTGAGCATCATTTTTGTGAAGAGAAAGGATTCGTGATTTTTTTTACCGAATAACATGTAATACAAAATTCTTTAAAGCCCGAGAGTAACTTTAACGCAGAATTTGGTCACAACGATCGCATTCTAACGGGAAACTGGCTTTGTAATTACCTCGTGATAAGCATTATCTATGCATGTCGCTATTATCATTCCCTAGCCTTAAATACGTAATCGCAAGAGCTCGCATGCTAACGAGAACGCGTGCGTTTTATCGGGGATTCAACATGTCACGAGTCTCTGCACCGTTTTTCCTAACAGTACTTTCGTAGATAATCGGAGATTCTAGATTTTCATAGAGGAACCGATGCACCCTTTGGCGTTCAAATGTATTTCAATAAATTCGGGTTAGTCTGAAAATTGCGCGACTATATCGACGACAATAAAACGCGTCTACAATTATGTCACGATAAGCCCCATTCCGTGTGCGAGGTTTTATCTTTAGTGGTTACATCCCGTCGTTTTAGCGGAATATATATCCTTCTCATCAACAAAAAGAAGCATCGCTAATGTAAAGCGCGATTTTACTCTTGGTTTATAAAGATATTCGCTTTGCCATCGGAGGTGCAGCGACTTATCTTAATGCGCTAATTTAAATTCCCTAATTGCTCCCTCTTTGTGTACTAATCGCGCCTCGTATAAAACGTCTGATATTATAAAGTCTATGTGATTTCTCAGAGACAACAACGACAATTTCAGATTAATTTAATGAATACGAAAGAATGAAATGGATAGCATTGCATCTTGTAATTTCGAAATAGGGTTTGCCTAAAAATATATTTATATGAGTTCTTTGTCAACTAGAACTTCACAGTTTGTGCTACACACATTATAGCCGCCAACATTCTCTTCTCATCATATGAAAATATATCTTTGAATATTTTATTTAAATAATTTGACTTTATTGAAAATAAATCTATGCAATATATAAGAATATTTCCTAAATAATGAAATATTGATATTTCAAGTGTCCCTCACGAAGATATTTTTATTTATAAATTTATATACATAACATCCCTTTCCTTTAATTTACTTTCACAACACATAATGAAGTTCTTATATTAAGTACTTACCACGAGGAAGAGAAGACTCAGGACGTAAAAAAAAAGTTCAATTGAATGAATCAATCTATTCCTACTGCAATATAGCTCGCGCATTAGAAAGTCATAACTCGGAGTCAAACCATTTAAATTGCATCACAATATTGCATGTCTAATAAAATGCATATGACAACTATTCATTTAGATAATAGAGGCAGAACACTTCCCCGATGAAAGATACAGTTTGCCGCGGTTGAACATGTTTGCTGGTGACATTTGACTCCAAAATATGTTCCGGTTAGATCTTCTGACCTTTATGACGTATTAGAAAGTCATTATATCAAGTTTTCTCTACATGCATGTGTACACGACGCGCTCGTGCTATAGAAATTTGATTACTCTATCAAAAACAATACTATCAATCATGAACTGTCATGTGATAATAAAGATATCGAGCAAGCTATTAATACATTTCGTGAGTTAAGTGTTTATTACATGAATTATAATTCAAACAGACGATAGTACAAGAGTTTAATTTCGCGAAAATCTATAAAATATTCGCTTCACTTTTAATTATTTATCCAAAATGTTTTTATTTCTTCAATTAATTTTATATTTTATTTTATGATTGTCGCGTATTTTAAAATTAAAAAAAATCCATTTTTCTTTATCCCTTATTTCTGTCATCATTGACGATCCCCATCAATTTCGCGACGTCCTTCCAAGGAACTCGCTTGATTCGCCTCCAGGTATCTCGTTGCGTACACGCAACGACATGCGTGCTCGAGATACGCATGTACAAACGGTGTAAAGAAGAAAAGGAAATGTATACAACCTATATAACCTAAGCCTATCTATCGTGCTGGAGCACCGTGTGTTCGATAGAAAGAGCGAGAAAGAGAAAATAGGAAGAGAGCGAGAGAGAGCAAAGAAACAACGCGAAGGAGTGCGTGCCTTGCCTCGCGGAGGGAGAGCAAGGGAAAAGAAAAAGAGAGTAGAACGGAGACAGGGCGTGGTCCCCCAGCCTTGTGCTCTTACTTATAATTATATTTATTCGTATACGTACCTGGCTGTAGCCATTGATATACGATCGCGGCGAGGTCTCGGCTTACCGCAGCGAGAGCTGGACCGCAGTGCACTGGAAAGGAGGTACGGAGGAGGAGAGAATCGGGCCTCGCGATTTCGGCATTGAACGAGGACAGCACAGGTGTAATCGTCAAAGTGACAGCGAGCGCAATCAATTTAATTCTTAAGTAACGTGCTCTCTTTCATTTTAAATATCTATAAATATCTATCAATATTTATATATACCATATAAATAAATATTTATAAATATCCTTTACAATTTTACAATAATTATTTCTTGATGTATAATTTCTCGCTGCTGATAATTGTTGCGAATCGAAAAAAGTATTCGGTTAATTTTATCTCGAAAAATATAAACGCGTCTGAGTCTTCAATTTTCGACTATCTTTAATACGTGCGTTTCTTTGGGCGTTAAATCGTTCTCTCGAGATGTGATGTGAAAAAAAAGTAAAAGACGAAGTTCGTGGTCGGTCATAAAGATCGCGAAACGCTCTCTTGGACATCATCTCAGATAAGGGAAACCTTGACCTTTCTGAGATTTTCGATTTACAGCGCGCGACTGATACACTGACAAATTATATACGGAGCGAATGTTTGTCTCAAAGGCCACGATGGCAATTTAAGTAAATCCCAACTGTGTGTTTTGAGCAACTGTGATTTATTTTCTTCGCGAGACAAAGAAAAAAAAAGAGAGAGTTCTCCCGTGAAAATTGCTTCAGTTAATCGGATCCAACGATGTCTTAATAATAACGATCTCGCTGTACGCCGCGCTGAGAGGCATAAATGTAATGCGGTCGATATCATAGTAATTTGAACATCATCTTAAATGCTTCGAAGATGAGTACTTTAATAGACCGCGCATGATTAGCGCATTATTAGCGCACGCACGCTGCTCTATTACGAACCGCAGTGAATAACAATTCATATTTTCTGTAAGCAGGCGGTAAATCCGGTTAAAAGTATCGCTTCTTATACTTCACCCTCTACTTTCGTTTCTGAAAATGTTGTAACACCGGCCATTAATGATAATAAAGCGTTGCGAACGTCTTTTAATGCACTCGCAGGATGCTTAAATAGCTCTCGTGTAATTCAAATTGATCGCGAGATTGGGCCTGGAGAAATAATATGAACTGGAAAACGACGATTATCGAAGCGATTAATATTAAGTTGCAACACCAACCCACCCTATATATTATAATTTATCACTTCGCAAAAGTGGGCACAGTTTATCAGAGGTTCGAACGACAGAAATCCGCAACTTTGTGCATAACCGCAAATGATTGGCGTCGCAACAATTGCCGGTACTTTTACGAACTCGTTTCTCTCCTCCACGGCCTCCGAGGCTCGTAATGGGATGTACGAAGACGCATCTAGCAAGCAGCCTAGGTACTCTCAAAGGAAGTAGTTGGGGTAGCGGAGATTGAGAAATGAGAGAAAGAAATCCAAGAAGGTTTGCAAGCGTCGTTGACCATGGGATATTGCCACCGCGCGCGCGTTCCAGGTGGTACTCATATACAAATTATGGTAATGACCGATCGATTCCCCCTAGCTCGTCATTCTGCTCTCCGTTCTTCTTTCTTTTTTTCTTTCTCTCTTCTCCCTTTCTCTCCCCTATGTACGCGTATCGACGAGGAACCCTCGTAAGGCCGTTGCTGCCCTTGTGCATTCGCGCGCAATTAGCTCCGTCTTCCTCATATATACAGGATGAGGCTTATACCTTTGATATTTTGATCCGATGCGTAACGCGATACACAAATGCGATGTACCGGAATTTTCTCCTGGATTCTCTGCTTTCCCTCAAATATTTTATTTGCAGTAGCAGTGAATCGTCGATATCTGAAATCAAACAGGAAATATCGAACGTCAGAAGTTTTAAATAAAAAATTTCTTCCGAAGAATTTCGTGCAAGTGACAGTATATATTATCGATTTGGACTCGCAATTAATAATCCATAAACTATAAATGACAGCTATCTCTCTCAAAGTATTATGTAAAAGAAAATACATCATTTTATAAATTAATCTTTTTCTTAAAACAGGGTTTTCTAGTCAGTCACATTTTTCTAGTTATTATTTTAATCATTTGTCTTAATCTATCACTATACATAGGAAGTTTCTATACCGCGATTACGACAAAATTATTTTCTCCTGTCGGATCCTTGTCATTCTCTCATCGTTGCTGACTTTCGCAGACACTGTCCATCCGCGGTTTACCTTTGATATTATAATCTGTCTCTCAACTGGAATACGTGACGCGAAGCTTAAAACGTTATATGCTCACGTACGGCGCGCTGGATCGAGTTAACTCGCGGTTGTGTTCCGCGTTCGCTTTAATTAATATGTGCCATATAATCGGCGCATTAAAGCACATTTTAAATGCATTCGAAAATTGTGCCAGAAAAAAATCTCAATATCAACATCATCAAGATATAAAGAAAATGATATAATTTTTTTTCTATGCTATTTTAATTTATACTTAAAATTTTACATCTTTTTTTACGTATAATTTATTTTATAAAAGTAATAAATTTTTTTCATAATCTGCATAGTACACAACACAACATACATTGTAAAAGCAATTGTGTCTTCCTTCCTGTAAATGATGTGAAACAAGGGACTTATACATTTTATTTCACGAAAGGAAATGTATGTTTCTTGAATACGAAATAAAATGTTATCTCACACTTGTAGATTTTACACGGAGGATTTCGCTTATAGAGAGAGAGAGAAAGATGAGTGCGATGTTCAGCGCATCTAACAAGCTCGCGGGCGAGCAACGTCACAGGCGAAGGAAAGCGATAACATAGTAAGCGATAAGTCGACAGTTTCAGACATGCATCGGCGAATTGCATTTGCGCCGAGTGGCGTTTATTTATGGCGGGCCGCCGCGTTCGCGATACGCACGTGCGTTTTCTCGCACAAAATGTCACGGAGTCTCGCGCGCCCGCGCTGCCGCATTACGAACACCGCGAAATAATCCGCGGTTTCGCGCGAGAAGTAACACGCGTGTGCGTGTCCCACGCACACACACATACGCGCGTTTCCCAAAGGCCTTTCAAACGTTGGCGGTATATCAGCACTTTTTATCGTTACAGCGCGCAGGCCTTTCGAACGTCCGGACGGTATATCAGCGTTTTTATCGTGTAACCATTAGCGCGCACGCACGACCTTTCGCGATCGGTCGATTCGTAACTCCGATTACCGGGCAAGCGATAAAGCCTTATGAACGTCGGCTTGATTATGCCTTTTCCATGATCTATAATCGCGATCGATATCCCATAGCTGCGTGCACATTGGCAAACGATAAGCGATGCTATAAGCGGCGAACCGTGTGGATAAGCTCACTCATTAACCCGCGTCTATTATAAAGTTGGAAATGGGATAATCAAGTTAAAGGAATAGTTTCCCTATCAATCAATCTATTATACTATCGGACAAAAATTATTCTTAGAGTGTCGTCTAATGACTATTTTTATATTTCATATATTTCAAGCAAAAAATGTTAAGAACTTTATATCAGCGAGTTGATTGAAATCATGTTTTCAATGATTCCTAATGAAACGCATAATTGTGAGAATACAACGTAAAAGCTGATGACAAAAATATATATGCATATGTGCATATGCATATAATAAAAACTGCACGTGGCGAAATAAATCCATGAATAGAAAAATTAATTTATAATTAGAAAAAATGACAATAATTTTTATCGTGATTATTTTTTATTCAAAATTCCTGTTAATAAACTCGCGCGACACGCAATTAAGTATATCTTAAATGGCACCTAACATTCATATCAAATTATAAATTATAATCTATCGGCGAATCCTTTGAAAAGATATGTATATAATGATTCAGATTAAGTATATATGTACACTACGTATTATATTTTACGTCGCTGCAACGTTATGTCAGAATCTTCGAGAACACTCCACGTTGCGTTATAATCTTGTGTAAATTCGCGATCAATCACTTATGTCACGTCATGAACCAGGATGATTGACGAATACACAACAATTATCATAAGGTTTTTTAATGACATCTTTATAAAAATAATTAATCTCCATAATTAATCACCTACCAATCTAGAATATAACGCGGATCAGGTATATGTGCCTCATATTTTATCATATTTTACATATTTATTAAATGTTATTATAAACTATACTTATAACACACAACTCTCTATGTGTGCACTCTATCTCAATATAGACTTTGCGGAATAATTACATGTTTTACGAATCATAATATTGACTAGATCAAGATTGTTCTTATGTAGAGATTTTCTTAAGAAAATGTAAAAAAGATTATTCAAGAAATTCTTAATACGAAGTTCGTGCAAATATCTTTACAATTATCTTCCCCCCCCCCCCCTCTCTCTCTCTTAATGATAAAAATTATATTATATATGTAAAAATTATATTATAGATGTATAATCCATAAGTTTTGCTGATTTTATCATTAATGGTTTTTGGATTCTTTTAGCGCATTAATGTATTAACATTGTTCCTTCATTTACCTCGTATAAGAATATTATTAAATTTCCGTGTATAAAGCTATAGCTAATCAAATTACTCTTGCATAATCTAACTGCGCGGAGAGCTCGAGAGTCTTTCGAGAATCTCTCGATAAATCGATAGCTTATATGCGCTCACAGACATGGTACGATGTTATAACGACAAGAGAGAAGGGAAAGAGAGAGAGAGAGAGAGAGACAGTGAACTTTTGCCTATCATAGAGTGTACCCTCCTTGCAACAGAATCGTAGATTACAGGATCTATCGTCAATGATTATCCTTCGATAGGAGAAAAGAAAAAAAATATTTGCCTTTAATGAACGCTCGGTTAATCGGAAAAGGATTTCTTGTAAGAACGATCGTAATTAATAAAAGACTTCGTATGCACACATTGTTCCCGCCGTTGTTCCATTATGTAAATGGTATAAAAGCATTAATAAAGTAACGACAATATGTGCACATCGACGCCCTCTTACCTCGTAGTAATAATGCGCCATTTGCATTAATAATAATAATAATTTCTAGCGATTTTATCGACGGGATTCCAAGCTGTTGAAGTTGTTCGCTACATTGTGGCGTCTAGGATAATAATACGCGGTCGCAAAGATTGGCCTTTGCAAAAAGATTCTGTTACAATCTAATAAGAACCTCTCATTTTCGTAACGTATATCTCTCCTTTTCTTTTATCGAAGAATATACGATTGAGAATATATCTTGTCGCGCGGGAGATTCTATCTACGATTCTGTTGAAAAAGAATACTCTCTGCAGCAGACAAAAGTCATCCCTTCTTCCTTCTCACAATGTAAAAAATAATTCGCAAAAAGTCTGATATATGATGCCACGTTCGAGAAAGAAAAGAAAAAGATATTAAAATTATTTCTTAATTTTCATTTTGTAGTACTGCGAAAGAAATTTTCAAGTAATTTGTTTTGTAAAGAATTTAAAAGAAGACGTAAAATATGGAGGGCGGATTTTTGTCTTGAAAGAGATTATTTAAAAAATAGAACGTTTAAAATAATTTCGCGCGTCACATCCGTAGACTACAAAATTGCGGAAGTCTTGACGATCATGAATAGATATCATCATCGTACAGGAAGAAAGATTTATCTTAATGCGGCGCAACACCACGACGATATCTCTGTGCATGTGTGGCGCGATTATATTAAAAATTTTCACCGGCGTAACTCGGCGCGATGCGCGAATACAGTTTACCATAATTATATAGCGCTCGCGCAAGCTGTGCCGGCTCCGCCGCGTGCGCAAAAAAGAATAAAAAAAGAAACAGTAAGACTATCTGTATTTTATCAACGTAATTAATATCGGCTGACGGGCATAAACTTCAGCGCAACTTCCAACGAATTAAATGTTACTTACGCATGTAACTTCGCGTAATCATTAACGGCGCGACTCGCGCCGCTCCAAGAAACGTACGACTTTTCTCTCACACCGACCAATAATTATACTATCTGTATACTTCAGCGTACCGTTAATGTATGTGGTTGCGCGTTCGATATGTTACGAAAATTAAACGCATAAACGGGGTATATCGCCGTGACGCGTATTACTCCGTCTAACGTTTGACGTTGCAGGTCGGAGTCTGTTATGTAAAACAGATTCGTATACTTGCGTGAATTCTAATACTTTCGTAGGTAACACTATACACACAGGAGGCGCTCACACACATAATTTCAATCTAGTTATCCGGCGCTATATAGACCAATGAATAGCGATACGCACCTTCCGCTATCTTCTCTGCAATTTCAACTATAATATTAGCGACAATGAAATGTATACCTATACTTTCGATGTAAAGTTAAATGCTACTGGCACGATTCTAATGTTACCGCGTCAACGTGTACGTTGTAAAACACAGTTTTAAGGCACGAACGCGATCGTATGTCTAGCGCTGAATGCGCGTTGGAGATGATACGAGCCAATGATGAAGTTTTCCGCATCTGCTACCAATTTCGATCTCCGATTGCCCGCTTTATGCGATTTCATAATTAAATTAATAGAAATTACGATTATATTCGCGAAAGATTTTCCGATCGAAAAATGCCTAATATTTGTACCGCCGCGGTCGATCGTTTAATAAGGCGAGAAAATCCGGTCGACGACCTTAATGCAAATGTAATTACATAATGCGGAAAAATGTGTAGATTACCGGCGGTAATCGCCACTTGCTGATAAATATAAACTAGCTAATTTCCATCTAATTACGTGGTATGGAAAGTTTACGGGCGTCACGCAGACAGTCTCTCCGCGCGACTTTGCGGTCAATAATTGAAAACGGTCGTCCGATAAACCCGCATGTATCCGT